CCTGAGAACGTGTATGAGCCAACAACAACATTTCTTTATTTCCCCCGCTCTGGTGCCGGGGATTGACCCCAGGGCCTCATGCTTGCTAGGCAGGTGCTCTGCCTTGAGCTATACCCCTAGCTTTTTGCTTTTGTTTTTGAGACAGGGTCTCATTATGATAGGATCTCAACGCCTTTGTGCAGGCTGGTCTGGAACTTGATATCCTCCTGCCTCCACCTCCCAAGAAGCTGGGATTATACCTGTGCACCACCACGCCCACCTCCAATAATGAGATTTCTGTTTTAGGTATAATTTGGGTTAGATCATGCAAACTTTTCACTTCCCTGAAATTTATTTCCTATATATGTATTAAATTACACCATTAAATTTCTGTTTTCATCTTTGTTCAAACTAATTATTGTTAACTGAAGGCAAAATTTTCAAAACAGCCCAAAATGCTTCACAAACATTAAGAAGAAACGCTATTTTATTAAGATGTTACTGGATTTCTTAAATGTGTAAATAGGTTGTAAACATAAAAATCACAGTTACATTAGAATTAATACACTTTGAGTTTTTATTCCATAACCACTGCTAAAGGGAAAAACCCATAGACAAGTTAATTTTCACAGGCTTAAGTCATTCTGTTTTTTGAGATGGGGTCGAATACTGTCCTTGGGTCCCCAGGCCCCAGGCAGCTGCCTTTCTCTCCACTTCTCAGAGTCTACGCTGCCTTCACAGCGTCCAGGTTGTTAGTCACTCACTGGAGAATTGGGAGATGTGTGTCTACTCCACCTCTTCCCTGAGAGGACGTCCTCGTCACCATTTCTGTTCTTTATTTTTAAGACAGAGCCTTACCCTGTTGTCCAGGCTGGCCTCAAATGAGCCTCCCATCTCATCCTCCCAAGTAGTTGAGACTACAGGTGTGTACCACCATGCTTGGCTTAGAACAACTCATTTGAGCAAAGAAAAAAAAAATGATTTGCTTAACTGGCAGTCGCTGGAATAGAATAGCCGTTGGAATTCAAAGTACTTGTGCTTATGGCATTAGGAACTGACGTGAGATGCACACGCAGCTTCACTGGTTACAAAGATGGCTTCATTCCTTAGACATTGCAGTTGACAGGCTCGGCTGCTATACTGGCTGAGACTCAGCTGTTTGTTGTAAGAGTGACGCAAACTGGGTCTCCAGGTGGCTTAAATATTAAACCATTTTTCAGTTTGTCACCCAAGGACTCAAGTGTGGAGGCATCCTCAGCGGAGTCTAACAATGTCACCTTTCTGCTATGTCCGGCTTTATCACGACCCGTTTACCAGTTTAAACAGAACCTCCCACTGCTGAAATCTGCCCTGTGCCTTGCTCTCCCCACCCCCAGGACTGTCTCCCTGTCTCCCTTCAGCAAGAATCCCCACTTACCCGTTACTCTCATCCACTGACTCTGCCACGTTTCTTGCCTATAAATTCTTATTTTTCCCTTTAGATTTTGGATTTGAGTCCAATCTCTGTCTGTGAGACCCACTGGAGTCTATTCTTATTGCAGTGGCCCCCACAGAATAAAGTCTTCTTCCATTGTTAACAAGAGTTGTACTTTTTTCTTTAACAACACACATCCTACAAGGGCCCCAGGTGCAACTCACCAATGAGGGTGCTTTGTGCATCTGGGGACACACCTCGAATCTACCATGGGTGTGGTCAGGACCTGTGGATACAAAGAGTGTCATTCTCCTAATGAGGCTGTGACATAAGGTGAAGGCGAATGGGTTTTACAGATGTAAGTAGGGTCCCTAAGAGTTCACTGTAAGATAACCAAAGGGAGAGCTCAGGGTTACCCCTCCTAGACACAGAGAAGCCAGAAACGGGCTCCGCCTGGCCTTGGACAATGGATGAAGGGAAGGCTAGTCAGTAACTGATAAAAATGGCTGACTACAGGAGCGGGAGGGGTAGGTGGAGTGGCAGTTCTGAGTACAACTGTTCATGGAGTTTTAATTTGGAATTTTCAAATTAAATTCCAAATTTAAAATAGACTGCCCACATGCAGATCCTGCAAGGCGCCCCGATTCTGAACTTGAGCCAGGTTTGGATCTTAATATTTAATAGTCACCCTGACCTCAAACGTTACAGTGAAAGTTTTTAGAACTTAGCTTTGAGCTTGATCTGGACCTTGGCCTTAAAACTGACTCAGATGTCCATCTTGTTTTGATTAATCCTCACGCCCTGAACTCCAACCCGGAAACCTGCCTTCGCTTTGACCCTGACATGGACTCGCATCCTGACCAGACTGTCATCAAACTCATGTCTAGTCTAAATACGACCTTGGTATTAACCTTGGCTTCGATACTGAATTAAAACTTTGTTCACAGTGCAGACTGAAGTCTTTCAGATGACCATGTCAGCGTCAACTCCTGAACGGACACTCGGAACTGAACTTCAACTTGGCCTTTTCGACACTCAGCCTTATCTCATACACGATTTTGACTCCGGTCTTCACGGACAGTCTGCCCCCTTGCATTGACCAAGTCTGAATTTGGACAGAACCTTGACCTTGATCTTGAAAAACAACATTACCCATACAATGACTTTCATTTTGACCTTGGTCTCAACCCTGATTCAGACCTTCATCTGGCCTTAACTACTGTCTAAATGATATCTAGTCACAAAGTGATTTGACCCTGGTTTTATCCCTGACCACGATTCACGACCATTTCCTGGTTCTATCATTCAGGATTATGTCCAGCCATGATTACAAACTTAAGTGTGTCCCTGGCTTTGGAACTGACCTTGACTTTTACAGTTACTCAAATCTCATCCACTTCTTGCCTATTGTCCAGACCATGTCTAGACCTTTGAACTAAACTGTGATCTTGACAACCTTGCCTTTCACAGTGATCAAACCTTTCACTCAGCAAGTTAAGCTTTGTGATGTCTTAGTGAAGCTTGATTTGGTCATAAACTTATGTTTTCCTTGATCCTGGCTCAGACCCACTTCTTGTCCCTCACTCTTGAGACCCAAGAGATGATCTCAACCAGACACTTATTTCGGACCTATAGGAAGGTTCATCTCACATGAGGTACTCAACCCCAGACTGGCTTTATTCTGGATGACTACCTCAACTTCAGCCAAAGGTTGACTTCGGTTTTGCAGCAGCATTCGTCCTTACGATGACCATCTGGACTTTAGTTGGGTTTATGTGTATAAGGTCTTACCCTACAGAAAAGTCCGTCTCAAGTGTGACCTCTGCCCCGAATTGGGGATAATCCTGAAGACAACCCTCTCTCCACAGCTGGATTCACATCCAAGGATGACCTCAAACCTGCATAGATTCACCAGGGATGATTTCAGTGGTAAAGCTGTATCCAACACTGATCACTTACACACAGAACAGTTAATGCCCGAATAAGACTTCAGCCTGCAAGAAAAATTCCAGCAGGATGATGTGTCGTCAGCTGAGCCAGATTCTTCTCCAGTGCTGACCTCAGTCTCACAGAGGATTTGCTCATGACCACGACCCAGCCTGTAGCTAAACTCACCCAGATGTCGACCTCATTCCTGCCTCAGGATCCATCCCCTATCCTTAGCCCTAACTCTCACCCTGGCCCAAACCCATCTATCACTATTTTAGAATTAGGGCTTTTTTTTTGTTTTCATGCTAGTCAGTTAGGTCTCTGTAGCTTTTCCTGATACAACACACCATTCGTTTCAGAAAAGGGATTTGCTTTCTAGCAACTGTGTGGACTCTTACAAGATGCAGTACCACATGTCAGGGATGTCAGATGTAGAATCAGAGGAAATCAAAGAAGCTTTGCCTATGAAAGTTTTCTAGAGGCAAGGAGGCCAGACTCACATGGTCTGGTCCTAACAAACCCTCACAGTGGGGTAAGGCAAGCTGCTCTGGCAGGCAGATGGGGTTTTCCAGTCCTGGCTCTGCCATGATTCCTTCTATTTGGAAAGTCAAACTTACTGAAATACTATTTCCATCATCAAAGGTCTAGCTCAGGTTGCATTCCCTCACCAGTTTGCCTCTTGGCTTGTAAATCTTGCTCAACAGTTCTCACCAGGGGTCTCACCAGGGGCTGTCCTGTCCCAGGATCCAGCAGACACTTTGAAGACCTCGGTTCCTTGGGTCTCAGTAATATCCAGTGCTGATGACCTCTCCCCTCCCAATTCTCTCCCCTGCAGCCTCCAGGACATCTCCTGGTTCTCCGCCTCTGCCCAGCAGCTCAGTCTCCTCTAACTGGTCACTGAATGTTGCCAGCTTCGGTTCTGGGCCACCACACTCTGCCTTCCCTTTCCCTATGACCAAGTTCTGAGTGCTCTACCTCCCACCCTCTTCCACAGCCCAGACCTCTGCGAGCGACACCTGGCTACCTCCTCATCCTTGGACCTCAGCTTTGGTGCCATTTCCCCATGAAAATCTTTCCTGGACTCCTGTATTGGTCAAAGCTTTACTTCATGTGTACCTGGGGTGAGGCAGACTGCCTAGGTGCAAATCCCCACCACTTGTCAGCCTTGGGAGGTTAAGAAACGGTTCCACGCCTCAGTGTCCATATCTGTACACGAGGATGATCAGATATGCCATTCCAGGTTGTGAGGTTATTAGAGTTGACATGTAACATGCTTAGAACATGACCAGACACACAGAAAGTGTTTGATAAACTTAATTCATTACTGTTGTTAAAGGTTTCCATGGTACTGTCTGCTTGTCTTTTGCAGAAGTTATCAGAGCTAGGCTTTTAATCCTTGCTTGTGTGATGTTGATCACTGACTGTCTCTCCCAGTACAGCCTTTAGCAGAGATGAGTGCTTTGCCCACAAGTGGATCCCCAGGATCTGGCCTGGGTCCCTGCTCAGAGTCCTGCTGGGCCTTCTCCACCCCCATCCCGGCCCACACCTGGCTCTGTGCCCCAGGAGGCTGAGCCCTCCATGGTCCTCCAGAGACAGGCTCCCTCAGGAATGAACTTACGTGAGGGTTTGGCCCATAGGAGACACTGGCAGAGGACAAAGTGTAGGCGGAGGATGGAGGTGGGGTACTTATTCCCTCTGCCAGGCCAGGAGCTGATAGCAGCTGTGTCTCTTCACTAGTGACCATGGTTCGCTCACCTCAGGCAACTGCAAGGTCAACTACTGCCCCAGGCCGGGGGTCAGGTGAGTGCTGACCATATTGTGCCTCAGTGCACCTGACCCAGGTGCTTCACCACCCGTATTCCTGCAGGTGTGGAAGCTGCTCGGTTACTCCCAGTCCGCACCATGTCTAACCTGGGACATGACAGCATTTGTTCAGTGAATGAACAGGTGCCTGCTCTACCATAGGAAGAAAACTTGTAGCCCAAACCTAGGCTGCAGTTGTTACGAGGTGCTCCTAAGAAACAGGAAGTAAACATTAGAAAAAAGGATGACGGATTCATATATCACGCTGTAGCTTGTAGCTCATAAATGCAACTACAATTTGTCAAGGAAAGAAAAACAGGGATGAGATCCAGGCGTCCTGGCTCTCCACCACGAGCGTGTGTGAGAACCAGCAGAGTTCGCTAAGCCCTCTGCTTAGGCCCAGGCTTGGGGCTGGGCTGGGGCCAGGCTCCATAGTTCGACCGAGTGTCCTGGTGACATCAATGCTCCTAGACTGGAGACTGTACTTGGAGGGACACTGTGTTAGGAAGGCCAGAGGCTTTCCTCTTCTCATTACATTTGTTTTGAGACAGGGTCTTGCTATGTGCCCAGCAGGCCTCAAACTTCTGATCTTCCTGCCCCAGCACCTTGAGTGCTGGGATTACAGATGTGCACCACCACACCCAGCTACCAGAGTTTTGCTTGGAGTCCCCAAGTCTCATGGTTGCATTAACTTCTTTAACATGAAAGGCCAAGTATAATAACATCTAACTTTTATTTTATACCTCTTTGATTACTGAAATCTAAGCAGAGGGTTTTGCTAAAAAACAAAGAAAAGGGGGGAAAAGCCAGCAGAGACAAGATTAAATGCTAGGATCAGACAAGGGGTCCGCAGGGGCCTGGGGAGGGCGCACACGTTTGCAGTGCACCAGGAGCATGGCCCGGAGCTGGGGCCTAGGGAAAAGAGCGACTAACACCACACAGCTCCAGGGAGCTCCCTCCTGCCCAGGCGAGGGCACACACCAGCAAAGCATACCAGGATGCTTCTCCAGGTCAGACAGCCTGCTTGCCACGCTGCGTGCACACACACACGTGTGCACACGCACTCACAGGCACACCACCCTGCAAGCCAGGCTCCTGACGTCGTGGCTCCCTCTTGGGCTCAGTGACCAGTGACCAGCTCCAGAGCTGAGGTGGGGGCAGTCTCCTTAGTGCTGACAAGAGGCCACCACTGAGGCAGCTGTCCAGCCTCCTAGCCAGGGAGGACTTGCACGCTGGACCCTGCCGGTGTGAAGGAAAAGTGTGCTGCACAGGCCAGGCTGTCAGGGAGGCCCAGAGGCCAGTGCTGAGAGGCTGTCCAGCTCCGCTCTGCTCCTCAGTAGCCAGTCGAGGAGGAAGCAGAGAGCCAGGAGGCCAGTCCCCAGCAGGTCCCCCAGCCCTGTGAGGTAGGGGATACAGTGGTTGTCAGGATCCAAAGCCTGGTGCCAGGTCAGCCGAACCATCACCTCTGCTAGGTACAGCAGGACTGTCACCTACCATAATATCAAGCAGACACAAAAGAAGACCACGTCAGAGGGCACAGATGGTCAAGAAACATCAGCTGGTGTTCATAGGCAGACAGCAAGACAGACATGTCACCAGAACTGTGAGTTCAGTAAACCTCTTATCTTTACCCAGCAGCATAAACCACAGCAAGGCAGGTCTGAAGCATGCTCCCAACTCATGCAACAGCCAGAGAACTTGACCCTCATCTGCTCCAGGCCCAGGGGGGACGTGGGCCAGGTGAAGTCTTGGGCACAGTCTGCTGAACACCATGCGTGCCTTTCAGCAGCACGGCCTGGCCCCTGCCCCTGGCCTGTGAGCTCAGGCTGCTCTTCCGATCCTCTGATGAGTGTCGGCACGTGGAGTGCAGTGAGGGGTGCAGTGTCCAGTGGCCTCTGTGTGTGGACCCCACCATTGGATTTGAACGAGTTGAGCAAGTTGGTCGGATTCTTGGAAGATGGGGACTGTGTGCCCTGTGTACCCGGGAATTGCCCTTAACCCACCCTGCTCAGAACCCCCACAGAACAGAGACCAAACTTGCTGGCTGAGGAGCTCTGTGCTTCTCGGCTGTGGTGTCCTTACCTGAATCAGGCCTGCCAGCAGGTACAGCACCACAAAGGTCCTGCTGCTTGTCACTGACTGGCCCTCCACTAGGTAGATGATGTAGAAGAAAATCAGATGGCCCGGGATCACCAGAAAGAGCAGGACTCGGGCTGACATGGAATTGATTTCTGGAAGAAATAACCAAGAGAGCTGTGTGGCCTGCCCTGTGGTGGGGGCCACCCTCAGGGATGCATCGCGTCATTCCCCGCTCATCCTGCAGGTGCTTCCTGAGCACCTACAACGTGGTGTGGTCTAGCAGGGGGACGGTGATTCAGCCCTGTCCTGTCCCTCACAGGGCTGACATTTGGGGCTGACACCAGCAAGCAGAAACAAACACGAGAAAGGCTTTTCCAGCGCGATAGGTACTGAGGAGGAAATAAGGGGCCAAAGGTGGGAAGGATGGGCTGCCAGGGCCACCACCACACCTTGCTCAGGTGCCATTGGAGGGTGGCGTGACCAGGCCCCTCAGGCCGCCCTTCTCACACAGCCTCTGCAGCCTGTCATGGCCACCGTGTGTGACAGGAGCCCCGGGTTTTCTCTAGACTCCTCTGCTCCCCAAGTTTAAGATGTCACAATAAATGGGATTCCCCTGGCTCAACACACTTTCAAAAACTGTAACACATGAGCATGGCTGACTTCTCCAACAGAAAGTCTCAAGAAAAGTCAGTCTCCATTTGCCTCTGAGTTAAAATGAGGTATTTCACCATAATATGGAAAGGAGGGAAAACCACGAAGCTTAGAGGCTAAAAAGTTTATGGTACGAAAATGTGCAGAGAGCTGCCACACGCACCCACGGTGAGAAATCAGACCACGAGTAAAAAGATTCTTTCTTACGGGTGGCATGTGGCTCGGTGGCAGAGCACTCGCCTCGAATGCTCAAGACCTGGGTTCCATCCCAGCACAGCAAAAAGAGAAACAAAGAAAACAGATTATTTTTCTTACACCCCAAAAAGAAAGAGGCAGAACTACTGAAGAATGTGGTGCAGAGTGCAGTGTGCACCATGGGGTGTGCAGAGTGCAGTGTGCAGTGCTCTGTGCAGCGAGCACTATGAAGCGTTCAGAGTGCAGTGTGCAGTGAGCAGTGCGGTGTGCCCCATGGAGTGTTCAGAGTGCAGTGTGCAGTGCTCTGTGCAGCGTGTAGCAGGCAGCGCGTGGTGTGCAGCAGGCAGTGCGAAGCCTCAAGAAAACCTATAGAAGAACTATGTACAAATTCAGTGAATGTTTGTGCATAAATAACATACAAAAATAGCTTTTCTGTATGTAAATGACAAATTAGAAAAGACCATGGGAGCTGGGCACTGTGACACATGCTGCTGACGCAGCTACTTAGGAGGCCGAGGTGGGAGCATCACTTGAGTCCGGGGAGTTTGCAGTCACAACCCAGAGAGGCCCTGTCCCAAAAATAAAGACAAAAAGAAAAGAAGGGGGGCAGACGCACTGCAGGAAGAAAACACAGAGTCTGCCAGGTGAAGGGGAGGCAGCGGTGGCAATCCTGGGGCACAATGGTGCACTGTGGTGAGGTCCCCGAGGCACGGTGGTGGTGGGGTTAGTTTTCTGGCCTCATGTGTCTCAGACTTGGGCCTGGGAAAGTCTGCACCCCAGAAACGCCGATGGGAAGGACAAGAAGAGCCTCGACAGAGGTCGGTTTCCCTAGCCAAAGGTGCAGGAGCAGCTGCCGAGCCAAGCAGAGACATCCACAGGGTGACTGTCCCCAGCCCAGGACACACTGCAGTCCCAGCTAGCAGCACAGCCAATGGAGGGGCCAGGACCTTGGTCTCATCAGATGTCATGTGACTCTCTCCATGACAGAGGTGGCACAGAGAAGGTGGAGTAGACAGTCGGGACTCACCCTGAGCAGTAGTGCCGAGGCCCCCACTATGTCAGTGAAGGACTGGGGGCAGAAGCAGGAAGCACCCCTTGCCCTCATCATGAGGGTGGCCGGCTAAGACTGCAGACCAAAAACCGCCCCAAAGTCTTTTGGTGCAGTATTGCACTTCCAGAAACAACCTAAAATCAGAGCTATCCAAACAGATGTCAGAATGTCTGAAACACAATTTCAATGACATCATTACAAACAGGCTTCAACAAGCAACCACAAACACACTCAAAATAAATGAAAAAACAATCAGAGCTGGGCGTGGTGGCTCATGCCTGTAATCCCAGCTACTTAGAAGGCAGAGATTGGGAAGATTGTGTTTTAAGGCCAGCAGAGGTGAAAAATTTGTGAGACCCCCATCTCAACCAGTAGCTGGGGAAGACCATCACACCTGTGATCCCCGCTATGTGGGAAGCAAAAATAGGAGGAGTGCAGTCCAGGCCAGCCTGGGCAAAAACACGAGCCCCTATCCCACAAATAACTAAAGTAAAAATGCTGGAGGAGTGCCTCAAGTGGTAGAGCAACTGCCTAGCAAGCGTGAGGCTTTCTTGAATTCAACCATCAGTAACACACATACACAGAGAGAGAGAGAGAGAGAGAGAGAGAGATGAAGTTCCTCCAATGGCTTCCAGCACTTCTCAGAACATTACCAGTCTTTTTCCTTAAGCTCAAGGTCCCCTGAACGCTCTCCTCCCCACCATCTGCCTTCCTCTACCTCTCAGCTTCCTTCACCCCTGCTCACACGCTCGGGTCAGCTCCCCAACCCCCCTCTACCTCTGGGCCTTTGCTCAGGCTGTGCCTTCTGCCCAGCAGCCTCCTCCTGACCAAGCCCTGCTCATCCTGAGAGCAGCTGCCCACCCCGAGCCCGGTTCCCCTCACTCCTCCTTACTGCACCGTGTTCGTGTCCGGAACACGGCACGACAGGTAATCACACTCGCTTCCTGTGTGTGTATCTGCTCTTGTACATGCTGAGATCAGCTGTCTGCTCAGAAAACATCTGAGTGAGCAAGTGAGCGAGCGAAAGAAAGGCAGGGCTGGCACTCAGGTCTCTCAGAGGAGGAACTGGGGCCTTGAAGGTGACCACACTGAGGTCAGCACTGTCCTCAGGTGTCCACTGCCACAAACATCAGATCCCAGTCACGTGGCCTGTGGCCTCCAGAAGACTCGAGACCCACCTGAGGTGCAGAAAGTGGAGCAGGGGTTAGGCCAAAACTTTTTCATCTGCAGCGGAAGGATCCCAGGTGTGCTCCAAATGTGCAGGAAGGTGGAGATCCGGCTGGTCTGAATGGCCACAAGGTTGCCACCAACACCTGTGAGGAAAAAAGGAACATTCTCCCTCCATTTACTCCAGTCTCTGGGTTCTGTCTCTCACTGTAAGCTTACTTCCTCTAGGAAGCCTTCCTTGACTGATTCAGCATTTGTTGCTTTCCTTCCCTACAATTCAGTCTTGCTTAGCACCCAAGAAGAGTGGCCCAGACTTTGTAAGTGAGGGATCAGCTGGACGGCAGGGCCTCTAAGGTGAGGGAAGTAGGGAAGGAAAAGCACGTCTCAGGAAATGCTGGCTGGCAGGAGCAGTGAGGATGAGGGAGGCAGCAGTGGTGGTCAGCCAAGAGCTCAATGAGCTACTCGGGTAAACCAGACCCTCAAACCAGCATGTTCACACCCTGGAAGTGGCGGGGCTTCCTGCTGAGGCTGTAGCTGCCAATGGTGTGGAAAAGGTTTTGAATGGCTGGCAAAGAGTGCCTGATATCAAACCCCAGTGTCACCAACAAAAGAAAGAAAAGGTTTTGAGCCCAGCCAGGGCAGATGGCCCAGCTGAAAAGGGTCACACTGAGCTCCTTCTGCAGGGGCAGACTTGGCATGGCAGAGGAAGAGCCTGCCCATGACACGCTCCTGCTGGGGCCCCATGGAGAGCATTCCCTAACTCAGCCAGCTGTGTCTCCAGGGCGGAGACCAGGCAGGTGGCTCCACAGGAGGCAAAGAACAATCTGCCAGCAGAGGATCACTGCAGACCTATTTTTCTTGGACCACAGATGACTTTAAAAAGGAAAATGGAAAAAAAAAATCTCAAATTGATCAGCAACATTTACAAACAAAACTCTTAGTCCAGCCCCACAGCTCACTCTAGCCACTCAGCTCTGAGACCCCAGATCCCCTTCCCAGCAGCAGCTGTGGGGCAACCCGGGCAGGCCACAATTACAAACGAAACGTGTCTGCAGTTTGCCCCACTCCCTACCATTCCTCACTGTCTAGCTCTTGGCTTGTCTTCTGAATGCACACAAATGGTTTGGGCAGCCTCTGAAGGCAGAGTTGGTGACATCTGAGAACCATTCTAAATGTCATCACCACCTGCTGTCATCACTCACCACTCACCACATCCAGTCATATGGGATGCTTCTATGTGTACACATGACACCCCAAGAGCACAGGCAACTTCCCCCATGATGGGGGACAGGCAGGGGCCCCTGTGGACATGCAGGGGCTGCTCAAGGACCCCTGAAGCCCACTTCTGAAGTCCCGGGATGCCAGGGGACTGAGTGAGTGGAGAGGTGACTTGTCACGTTTTGCTCCTCTCCTGACTGGCTACCTCCATTCAGAGCCTCCCCAGCCACCAGCCACTAAAGCAAGACAGGTCTTCAACCCAAAAGCCTCAAGGTCATATAAAGGAATTAAAGGGAAGGAGTCAGAGCGGGACATTAGGGAAGAGTGGGGACTGACATACACTCCAGCAAGGGCAGGTCCTGTATCCATTCCAGCTGCTGCCATATCAAAAAAGTAAGCCCTCTGCTGCCACAGTCTTATATTTTAAGGCCACAGAAATCCAAATTTTTAGGTATAAATGTTTGAGTTTTAATGTCACCAATGAACCTTAAAGAAGACTCACAAGAGCCCAGCCCCAGTTCTGAGGGCCACATTGGGGTCGAGTTCAGCGTGCCTTCCGAGCGTGAGGTTTGGCTGTCAGCTGGGGCCTGTGAGGGCAGCGGCAGGGCCCCACCCCGGGTCCCATTTCATCTGAGAAAAACCAGCCCCAGCAGCCCCCAAAGGGCTGTGGTCTGTGCATGGCTCAGCTGCCCAACTGCCTCCAAGGGCCTCTGCCTGACCTCTGAAGGCTGGCGTTCAGACCCACCTGTCCCTGGGGACCAACCCAGCCCAGAAGCCACAGGGAGCCCAGCGGTACTCACCACATATCACGGGAGTGAGTATGGCCATGCCTTTGTACTGCTGCTCGGACACGGTCTTGCTCAGGATGAGCCCTCCAAAGCTGGACGGAGAGCGGAACCTTCAGACTGGCATCCGCACCCTGCCCACAGCCCATCAGCAGCCTTGGCAAGCTTTGTGTTTCCCGACACAGAACGTCTGCGGCCCCGCTACATGCATCCTCTGTACCCCATTTTCCTGTTTCTATGTCTGTTTTGAGTCTTGGCTGCTCCAGAAGGTCAACAGATAATGGCAACCCTTACAAAACAAGCAAGCGCCATTGTTCCAGGGCTTGCTTGGGCTCTGTCACACACAGAGTGACCAAGATGCTCTGCAGGGAGTGTCACCTCATGCCCCTCGTGCAAGGGGAATGCTGCCACAGACTGCTCCCACCAGCTGCTGGAGTTGCCCACCCCCTGGATGACTTAGAGCCTTGGAGAAAGTAGATCCATTTGCTCTGGAAGCAAAGATACCTGGACCACAACCTCTTTTGCCTGAGATTTGGGACAGCACCTTATGTTGGATGGACAGGAGTGGCCCCCATGGGTGTCTCTAACAGGAAAAGGGTCTTCAGAGTGGGGATGGAGGGAAAAGGCAATCTGGCAGGCAGGAACCAACCCCACAGCCCTCTAAGTGCATCAGCAGCTATGCTGGAGACAGTCGCCATGAGGCCATGGGAGGCGCTTGGTCCAGGCAGTGTGGGCCAGGAAAGCTGGCGTCTCATGGCACCTCCACAAGGCACAGCACTGGGCTCCAGGGCTCTCGTCTGACCTGCCCAGCCTCGCTCTGCCCAGCTCCCTGGTGCTCTGTGAGCAAGGCAGCCTCTCTGAGAGTGAATCAGGCCTAGTGTTCTTGGTGAGAGAGACATACGAGAGTAGAAAATCACGACACAGAAGCCATGGCCATGTGTCACTGCAGCTCTGCCCCAGGAGCATCACCTCACTCCAGGGGACCCACAGCATTCGGGAGGGGAGGGCAAGGCAGCACCTGCTGATAACCATGGCCAGCACGACTGGGAGCCACCCGAGCTTCAGGATTTTCACCATCGGTGGGCTCTGCTTGGCGATGAGGACCCACAGGGGAGTCAGAGCCAGGAGGCCCACGCAGACCAGTGGCGCCAGGTACCAGCTATCTGAAAGACAACGGAGACACACACAGCTTGTGTGGCCAAGGATGGCATGCAGGGCCTGCACTGCACAGGCGAGAGCAAGTGGGAGCGAAGGGGGCTGGAAGTCCAAAGGGACATTCTGTCCTCATTGTTTCGGTGGACAGTTATACCACACCTCTGAAGAATTTCCACCATCCCATTAAGCAACTGGGAAAGCGCCTTTGACTTAACTCCCACCAGACTCACCCCACGAAACTCTGATGTGTCCTCAACTTTCCAGAGACAAAGTCCTCCTTGGGCCCCTCCCACCCAAGGTTACCACGCATGGGGGGTGACCACACAGCAGCACCGAGAGTGCATGACCCTGTTTTGTGTTCTCAGTAGCTAGCTCCCACTCAGAAGTGCTAAGAGAAACCACAAGTGTGGAGAGATAGCCGCAGGAGTTGGAGTCAGGAGGCAGCCTGGACCTGCGGAAATCCAAACAGCTACAGATGCCAGCCCTGCTCCTGGCTGAAGCCAGGCCAAGGTGACATCATGTCTCTTGTGGGGCACAGGTGGAGGCCAGTCTGGCAGGTACCTGTGTCCCTGGGCAACCTTCTCCCATGGTGGGAGGCTGGGGAAGGCAGACTGGAAGCCAAGTGCCACTGGCTCATCCCTGTAATCCTAGCTACATGGGAGGCCAAGATCAGGAGGATGACAGTTCAAGGCCAGCCTGGGAAAATAGCTCACAAGATCTCATCTCTGAAATAACCAGAGCAAAGTGGACTGGCAGTGTGGCTCAAACCTGCTTTGCAAGTGTGAAGCCCTGAGTTCAAAATCCAGTCCCACTAAAAAAAAGACAGACTGGGGTGTGGACTGTTCCATTATCACCTGGGCTGATGCCTGGGAGCCCTGGGGTTCTGCTTGCATTCACCCTCTTCCTGCCTCATGCTTTGTGAGTTTCACCTCTCACACATGCATGGAACAGCAGCTCTCCCTAGAACAGTCTTTGCATGCCAGCCCCATCCTCCCGAGGGCAGGCTGAGAGGTGCACAACCTCCTCCTGAAGGCACCCCAATGCTGGAATCCCAGCATTTCCAGGCATGGTCTGTGTCCCAAACCTTCCTTCTTTCCTTCCCTACACCAAAGATTGTGGTCCCTTTGTCTGTCACAGGTGGCCAAGACAGGCTCTGGACAAAGTACTTCACGGCAGATGTGCTGGCCTCTGTGCCACTCCAGGAGATAGGAGGCAGGCCCCACCAGTCCTAAGCAGGTCACTATGGTTGGGGACGTGGTGGCCTGTGGAAGCATCTCTTTACAGGATACTTGGTCTGTTTCTGTAACTGCTCACAGGCTTGCAGGGCTCGGCAGGTACGGCAGTCAACCACCAGTCAGTGAAGGCCTATCTCACCCAGACCCAGTGACAAACTGAGCACACCAGAGATGTTCACAGACTCACAGGAGGGAGGTGATCCCACAGTAACATAAGCTGTAAATCCCAAGCCATGTGTTCAAATGATCACAGAGGAACATACTGGACAGAGAGAGGCTCTCTCTAGAATTTTTAATTTATTTTCTGAGTCAAATATAAATAATTAACTCCAATGAAAATCTTGTTAAAAATTCATTTTGGCTTAAAAGTAAAATTATCATCTTATCCAATTCCTACAGATTTACCCTGTCACTTACACAAACCTTGAGAACCTCCCAGGTGGTTAAACATCACTGGTGGCAAACAGTACCCAATGAGGCAGGCAAGGAGTTGGTTCAGGGCTGGGACAGAAGGGCCCCAGGGGCCAGGATCCTCTACACCCAAGCAATTTTCTTTTTCTGTTGCAAATTTCCCATATTCCCCAAGACACTGATAAAGCAGAGCTTTGAGAGTCTGTTCCCTTTGTCTAGGCCATATGGCCACTGTCCTGCTGGCTTCACCCCTGGAATCAGGATGTACATGACCTCCTACAAGCCTCTGTGCTACAGATGGAAATGAATAACCTGTGTGTCTGCAGACATGAGCTGCTCACTCTCCTCCTGACATAGTTTCTGCAGGACACCCTGGACTTGCCAAATCACCTCAGGCTTTCCCGCTGTGACACTCTGTGCTGTCTAGGGGCATGGAGCCTGATTCAAATGCTCTGGGGACCAGGGTTCCCATTCAGCCTCAGTGGTGACCCGTCCCAGTTCTTCTTCCTTGGATTCCTCCTACCTTTGTGTCTATAGAAGAAGCTGCTAACCAAAGCCAGAATGGACAGCGTGATGAGGTCTCCCAGGCTGGCCGCGATGGGCGTGGCAATGTTGTCTGGGTTGACCCCAAGTTTCCGAGCACCAATCACTATGCAGACCATCAGTGTTCCTGCAGAGAAGGTAGAGTCAGACCCGAGGCCCTGGAAAGGCTCACAGGCCCCAGGCCTTGGCATGGCAGAGGGAATCCCAAGTGGTCAGAAGCTGCTCGTTACCTGGCCGTATCCACACCGCAGGCTACCCAACTTACTCAGAGGTTTCCTGCTACTCTGGAGGCTGAGAAGTTTGGGAGTTAGAGTCCACTTTGTAACCTGTGTGCGTGATGCCAAGAAGTGGCCCAAAAGCCTTGACACACCCAAGCAAGGTAGGTGGCCTCAGAGCTCCCAAATCACCTAGAGCCACAAAGACATGGAACCTGCAGGCCCTGCTGCACAGAGTGGCTCCATGGCCGCTCTGAGCAATGGGAGCCGGACACTGAGGATGTGGCCTTCAGGGCTTGTCAAGGTCCCCTGAAGAGTGGGTGACAAGAGGAAGTCAGCCTTCTTGTCATGTCTTAGGACACAGCCCTGAGAGGATGGAGGTGGGCTCAGAGGTAAGAGGAGGGTAGGAAGGCAGGTGTGGTCCCGGGTGACACTGTGGTTCCAGGGACTCAGCTTGGTCGCCAGAGGCACCATGGGGTTTCCTCATCTCAGGACCTGGTGTGCTGTTTGTTACTGGACTCAGAGAAACAGCAGGTGGCCCCTGAGTACAGGTGGTGACAGGTTCTAGGGTGTGGTTCATGGTCTGAAAGGCAGCTCCATGGTCGCCCAGCCATCCACCCATCCACTGCCTGAACTTAATGCAGTGACTCCTGCCTGGTTCTTTAAGATATTCCCTTGAATATAAAAATAGTAGCAAGACCCTGAGTTTGATCCCTATCACCACAAAAAAGTAAAATAAAAAAATAAAAAAGTAAAATAAATAAAAATAATGACAACCACTCCCTCAATGCTGTCCTAAAATCACCACCACCAGCCCGCCATACCCCATCTGTGGCCACACCACAGCTGTGCTCCTCATTCTAAGTGAATCTGAGATTGTGCAGGTAAGGCTAAACTGGGGGGAAGGGGGCTGGTGACAATCCCAGAGACACCACTGGTTTGTGAATGCTTATTAAAAACCACTTTCACGAGGCATTGCACAGCCACTTCAATATCACACAGTAAGTCACTGTCAGTGTTTCTGAACACAGTGTTTCTGACAGTGCAGATAATGTCCAGCTGTGGGGCTTTGCCCATCCTGGGTCTGTTTCCTCATCTCTAAAGCAGGGAGCAAGGAATGGTGCTCTTCACAGGGCCCCAGAGGGCTATGGCTGGCCTTTTTAATTTTTTTGTGGTACTGGAGATTTAACCCAGGGCCTCCTGACTTCTAGGCAAGTGCTCTACCTCTTGAGCCACACCGCCAGCCCTTTTGTTTGTATTGTTTTGTACCCAGGCTGGCCTCAAACTCAAGATCCTTCTGCCCCTGCCTCCTGAGTGGCTGGGATTACAAGCCCAGGTGTGGATGGCCCTCTGAATCATTACGTGGTGTGAGCTGCTGAGGAGGCGTCATGCTAGAGGCCTCCTGGACACCTCAGGGAGGTGTTGCACATTCATGCTGCCCTATCCTTTGGTGACCGGGTAGCCACTATCCATGGACACATTGAGCCATGGCTAGAAGCCGGCCTTGGCACCCATCCTGACTGGGGATTCAGCCCAAGCTCTCCTTCCAGACTCTGCTGTTCCACACTGAACACATGCACACACAGGCACGGGAATGCAGCTGAATGACAGCCTGGCAGCCAGGAGAACAGGGGTAATCTATGGATAGCTGGGCCCAGAGCGGATGTGGTAGCTAATCAGGTAGGAGTGTAAATGCAAGTCACTTAGGAAGCCACTAATTGTCCTTCCTTTCCCTGAACAAAAGCAAGGCATGTGGTCTGTGAGATGCACACAGCACACGCTCTGGAAGTCAGAAGACAGTCCATCTATTCGGCAAACATGGTCATGACCTCAGAGCAACCAACATGGCGCTGCCCCCAGCAATGGAAGTGCCTCGGGGTGGGGAAAGGACAATACGCAAGTGGACGAACTAGCATCTGCAGCAAATAAAACAGGCTGGGGTGCGGTGCAGCGCGTGCCTGGCATGTGCTCAACTTAGATCCTTAGCAACACACACACAGGAGTGTGAAGTTAATAAACAGGACAGTAAACTAAAGCATGACCAGGACGGGAGGCTATCCTACAGCATCGGTCAGAGAAGGCCTTGGAGAGGGAGCAACCTCACTTGGCACACAGCTCAGGTCATCTTTGAGCACTCGTTTATGTCTCCCTCTGAAGTAAAATACAAAGCCCTGTGTGTTCTGATCCCTGCGCCACACAGTGCCAGACACACACACCCAGCAACACTGCATCACAAGTGGATGGACAATATGAAGAGGCCACTGCACAGTGACTGTTCCCCTCCCTCCCTCCCCATAAGGACGGGACCACATCTGCCACTGTTTCTGTCTTCCAGCCTGCTAGACTGGAAGAGCCCTCTGTCAGGTAAGTGACAGGAACAGCAGGCAGCAGAGCAGGGGTCAGGTCACCACCCTTGAGCTGGCATCTCAGCAGGAAGAGGAGACAGAAAAATGCACAGGAAATAAGGTGGTTTCAGATGCTCTGGCAGGACCACAGTGCTATGGACTCAATGCTGGTGTCCCCCAAGTCCACAGACTGAAATCTTAGCTGACAAGGGGGTGTTGGGAGTGGGGCCATAGTTGGTGGCAGGTCATGAGGGCAGAGTCCTTCGGTATGAGATTAGCAATGTCACAAGGGAGACCCCAAGGAGCCCACTCTCCACCTCCCTGTGGCCAAGGAAGACACAGCAATAAGGCAGCCACCTGCTACCAGAAAAGAGCCCCTGCCACGACCCCACAATGCTGTCATCCTGATCTCAGACTTTTAGCTTCCAGAAGTGTAAAAATCAATGCTGATTGTGAACAAGACACCAGCATGTGGCACGATGGGGAGGTCAGGAAGAGATGAGATGTGAGCTTTCACCAAGCCTTGCTCCCTGTATATCTGCAAACGCCAGAGCCAATCACAGGCCTGCATGTGAGTCTGTTTGTCATGCTCAGTAAATGTCCACAGACCAATAGACCAGATGGCCAAACCTGCTGTGTTCAGGGTGCAGGACCATGACAAGGAGAACGACCTGCTCAAGGTGTGTAAGAAGGTATGCACAGACCAAGGCCCTCACACAGGTATAAGGGAGAGATGGGGGCACGGCTCCCTCGGGCACACACTGCTGCCTCGCAATGGACAGGGCAGCTATGACGACCCAGCAGGGTCTTCCCACCTGCTGTGAACGCCTGAAGTCTCACACTAGCACCTATAGCAGCCCCATCCCCACATCTCCAGAACCCTAAACATGAGCACTAAGGACTGGCAGGGAGGGATTGGGGAGGGGGATCACATGGAGACACAGCTCACCTAGGGCAAAGGCTGCGAGGAAGGCAGTAATGACACTGCTGGCACACAGCAAGGCCACCTTGGCCAGTTCCAGCTCCTCCCTAGACACTGCGCCCAGTAGCAGAGCGGCCATTGCAGCCAGGAGCCCCACGATGGTGGCCTGCACCTGCCAAGGCAGAAATCACACACATGAGGAGAGCCCCTCTGGTTTATTTGTTGAGATGGAGTCTTGCTAATTTTTTGCCCAGGCTGACCTCGAACCTCAGTCCTCCCAAGTGGCTGGGATTACAGACATGAACCACTGCCCAAAATCTAACTGTTAATTGTTCAGACTCTTTGAGCTTATGGGACGTTATCTTTTCATGCAGAGCTGGGGTGTGGCTGAGTGGGTGCCTAACACGCATGAGAGTTCAGTCTCACATCACAGGTGCAAAAAGAATATAATGTAAAAAACAGAAAATTTTCATGGCAATCTCACTTATCAGGTAAGCTAAAGAACAGAAAGAACTAACCTGGCCCTGTGACTCATGCCTGTAATCCTAGCTACTTGGGAGGCAGGGAGATGGGGAGGACTGTGGTTTGAGGCCAGCATGGGCAAAAAGTGTGCAAGACTCCATCTCAATCAATAAAAAAGCTGGGTACACAGTGTACACCTGTCATCCCAGCTATGTGGGAAGCATAAACTGGAGACCTTGGTCCAGGCATAAATGTGAGATCTTATTTAAAAAATACCTAAAATGAAAAGGGCTTGGGACAGGTTGGCTAATGGCAGAGCGCCTTCCTGGCAAGTGCAAAGCCCTGAGTTTAAACCCCAGTACTGAAGAAAAAAAGAATGAATGTGAGGCACAGCTGTGTAGGGCGGTGCGGAGAGGTAGGGTGGGCCAATGCTGAGCAGGTGCAGGGTGCCCAGCTGAACTGGCTCTCAGGCCACCCTTCACCCTTCAGTACAGCGAGTGAGCCCCACATCATAACAGCTGTTAAAGATTTTCAATCACTCTTGGTTTCACATTTATATGACAGAATGTGCTGAAGTTACAATTGTGAAACCTGCCCGCCATTTCTAATTCAATGCTGAGCGCTTCTTATAAACATCTACACTGATCAGAACTGCATGCAGGCCCAGGCCTGAGCAGGATTTAGTAAACACTGGCTGAGATCACTTCCTTGGAAATATGCACACAGGGGTGAGGATTGGAGGAAACCAGAAAAGGAAAACCAGTACTTGTCACACGCCCCTAGTCTGACCTTCTGTTAGGGGACCATGAGTGTCTGGTTAAGTTCTGCAGCTCCTTGGCCATAGGACATGATCCTGGCCTGTGGGACTCAGCTCAGGTACAGAAGGCAGACTTGTCAACACAGAAACTGTGCCCCAGCTCCAGCAGCACCCACTGGGAAGAGGGAAGGAGTGGGAAGGGTTGCACCTGGCAGCAGGTGGGAGCCTAGACCAAGTGGAGTCTTTAATGTGTAATAACGAGGGGAGAGAGGAATCCCAGGGGAGATAGCTGTGTGTGCAAAGGCAGGAAAGGGAAGGGTTGGTGAGGGACAGGCAGTCCACACTGGGACAAAGGGAACCAATGAGGAGGAAACGCCAAGAGCTTTGGGCTTTAGAAAAGGCCACCAGGTGGCCACACAAGGGATGAGTTGAAAGCAGCTGGAGGAAGAGAAGGAATCATCAGAATAACTGGGTGAGAGCTAGGGAGGTGGGGAGCAGCTGGGGTGACTGGGTTTCTAGCTTGGTTAAGTAAGGACGACTGCTCACTAGGCGAAGCTGACAGGACAGAGCCATGGCCACGTGTTGGCCAACTTCCCCTCAACCATGACAAATACCTGTGATAATCAACTTATAAAAGGGCTTATTTTGGCTCAAAGTTTTGAGGTTCAGTCCACGGTCAGTTGACTGCACTGCTTTGGGCCTGTCAGACGCAGGGGTTCTGAAACCCAGGTGATGGTGGGTGTCTGAGCTCACAGTCCACCTTCTCCCACCCACAGAAGCCCAGCAGGATCCATGCTAGAGAGCTAGGTGCACAGGCAGCCCTGGGCCAACTTCTTCCCGAAGGGGCCTCCCACTGTAACACTCTGTGACAAGTTCCTGGATGAGAAAGAACTCAGCCCATGGAAGGCCTGGCAGAAAGAGGTACAAGTCTGAGAGGAGCATGAAGGGCTAAAGTATGTCTCAGAGGCTGAGAAGGACAGGCAGAGAGGCAGGAGCTGGACCAGGGGAATTTTCAGGCAGGAAGGAGCCACCACGGCCCCAGAAAGATTAAGTAAAGTCATTTACAAAAGGCAAACTCACAGGCGCCGGTGGCTCACGCCTATAATCCTAGCTACTCAGGAGGCAGAGATCAGGAAGACTGCAGTTTGAAGCCAGCCAGGCAAATAGTTCATGAGACCCTATCTCAAAAAAAACCCTTCACAAAAATAGGGCTAGTGGAGTGGCTCAAGGTGAAGGCTCTGAGTTCAAGCCCCAGTACCACAAAGAAAAAAAAAAAAAGGCAAACTCAGGATTTGTCAACCAGGGGAACACCAATGACTTTGGGAAGTACAACTGGGATCCAAACAGTGGGACGAGATGCCAGTTAGCATGTCGGGGGCTATGACCCAGAGAGAGGCCAAGCACAGGCCGTTCAAGAATCTGTCTTGGGAGCTGGGGAGTTGTTCAAGTGGTAGAACGCATGCCTAGCAACTGTGAGGCCCTAAGTTTGAATCCCAGTACCACCAAAAAAAAAAACCAGTATCTCTCTTGGAAAGAAAGGCAGGAGAAGCTGGGGACTATGGGTCCCAGGACAAGCATCTCCACCAGCTGCTGCGTGAACCTGGTCTGGCAGATAGGAGGTGGGTGGACACATGGGCACCTGTCCTTGAAGCTCAGTTCAGAGTGCAGGGACGAGAGTCACGCAGCCTCTCCCCTTCTTACCCAGAGCAGGCCTGGCTGTAGGTCCAGGAGGGAGAGGGGACAGGAGTCACTCTGATGAAGTGGGGCTCACCTGCACAAGAGCGAGGTTGCTGCTGATGACTTTGTGCCTCTCCTGGGGACAATCAATTTGTCCAGTGTTGGCCTAGGATGAAGCAAAAAGGATAGAGAGCAGGTCAGGCTGGGCCCGAAGCAGGCCAGTTCTTCCCCTTCCTGGAACGGGCAGTCTCTCAGGGGACAGATTAAGACATCCCATTCCACTGATGTCAAGACAATCATGCTGCTTGGCCTGGGGAAAGCGCTCCGGTCTCCTCTGTGGGGGGGGGGGGAGCGAGGTGAAGACACAGTCCCCTTGAGAACTGTTTGGGTGCCATGGAACCCTCCCTCCACGCACAAGCCCACGGCACACGTGTGGCCAATAAATCATCTGTAACTCTCAAGTCCACGTGTGGACCTCAGAGGAAGGCTTCCTGCAATTCCTTTCTCTCTCCAGCTAGCATACCCCCAAAAAGCACCAACCTCGCCCCATAGCCTCATCCCTGTAAAACCAACCCACTTAAGGAACACGTTCTTTTTCCTTTAAAAGTGGTAGTCGGCTCTAAACATCACAGTACTTGACAGCAAAACTCACACAATAAAAAGGAAAGGTTTTAAAGCAAATGAATTCTCCTAGTTCCTTTGCAATGAGTTTGTCAAGTTCCTGAACTTAAAGGAAAAAAAATAGTAAAACGTGTACTGTTAACAAACTAGACAATTACTTTTTTTTTTTAAACAAACAAGGGAAGTCTTCCATGTTATATCATGTTTGCCATCATCAGGCCTCAGTCTACTCTTACTTAGGGCAGGTAGAATGATCTCAGCTCAGATGTCCTTGCAGGAACAAGGGAATGAGGTGAGCAGACGATGGTGGCAGAGCCTCTCATGAGCCAGTCTGCTATTTTAACTCACATTTTCTATTCATCAACCAGCTCAACCCTGGTCCTGACCTTAGCAGGTAAGTGGGTTGCTGTTGGACCATGTGATCCACATATGAGATGGAACAGATGTTCCTTTCTGAAGGCATGCTATTTCCATCAGCTAGAAAACAGTTAAAATAAATCAACAAATCTAACCTGCATGGCCCACGTGACAACCCAGCTTTTACTGTCTGAAAGCGCTTACTATCCACCATAGTACCTGAGTGAGCAGGAACTGAGCTGGACCAAGAGATGGACATAGAGAGGCAGAGGGCTGGTAGCTTAGAAGTCTGAGATTAGGGAGCGTGGGCATAGAGAGAGAAAGGGGCAGAGAGTTTATTTAAAGAAATAATGGCCCCAAACTCCCCAAATTTGAGCAAAGAGATGGATACAGAAATATAGAAGGGTGAGTGAACTCCAGGACTCACGCTGAGACCACTATAAACAAAGTATTTAAGTCAAAGAATCCTAATTGACTTGAGAGAAAAGAAAGAGACTGTCACATATGAGACTCTCTATAAGATTATCTGAGGATCTCTCAGCAGAAACCTTACAGGCCAATTGAAAGTGCCCAACAATTCTGTATCTGGCTAAACTATCCGGTAAAAATGAGAGAGAAATTAAGATACTTCCAGATAATCAAAAGCGGAGGGAGTTCAGATCAACAACCTGCCCAGCAGAAGTGCTGAAGGGAGTCCCTCAAGTTGAAATGAAGGAGTGCCAGGTGGGAACGTGAAGCCAAATAAAAACGTACAGTTCTCCAGTTAAGGTAAATAGATTCATGAATGAATACAGAAAACTGTATTGCTGTGATTTTGGTGCATAACTCCACATTTTATTCTTTTATAGGCTTTGAAAGACAAACGCATAAAGTAATTACAAATCTATTTTAATAGAATAAATTATATATGCTATAATTTGGAACATAAATAACAAAATACTTTTACATGCAATTGGAGTATAGAATATAAATAAAAACTGGGAAAGGAATCAAAATATGTCACTAGGAAAAAACTGAACTAATCATAAGGAAGGCAAAAGAGAGGAAATAAGGTACAAAGAGAAAAAGAGGGGAAATAAGGACATTTGGAAAACAAACAAAATATCAATAGTAAGTCCTTCCCTAGCAGCAATTTCTTTAAATGTAAATGGGTTAAATTTCTCAATCAAAAGAACAAACTGGCAGAACATATTTAAAAAGCCAAAAACTCAGGATCAACTACTGGCTATCTGTGAGATACTTTTAGACTTAGTGACACACCTAGGTTGAAAGTGGAAGGACAGGAGAGTGCTTCCACACAAGCAGTAGCAGAAAAAGCAGTGGCGGCTACACTAACACCAGACAAAATAGACTTTAAGTGTGACAAGTGTTGTGAGACAAAGGACACTGTATAAATAACAGAAGGGTTGACTCACCAATATAGAGCTATTATGTGGACTTTAAGAGTAAACAAATCCACAATTATAATTGGAGGCTTCAATACCCCACAGTCAATAATGGATAGACAACTAGACAGAAGAGAATAAGGAAACAGAGGATATGATTAACACTGTAGGCAACTGGACTCCACAGCCATATGCAGAACATCCATTCAACAACAGAAGAATGTTCATTTTTCTCAAGTATTGAATGCACAACATTCTCCAGGACAGACCATATGCCAGGCCACAAGACCAGAAGACTGAAATGACACATGGATCTTTTCCAATCACAAGAGAAAGAAATGAGAAATCAAGAGCAGAAAGACAATGGGAGAATCTCTACATACACAGAAATTAAACACTACATCCTTGCAGAATCAATGGGCCAAAGAAGAAATCACAAATGGAGAGGAAAACACACTATACCAAAACTTATGAGATGCAATGAAACAGTTTTAACAGGAAAATTTAGGGCTGGTGGAGTGATTCAAGTGGTAGAGCACCTACCTGCCTAGCAAGTGTGAGGCCCTGAGTTCAAAGCCCAGTACTACCAAAAAATAAGAGAAATTTATACCTGCAAACAATTACATTAAAAAAACAACATGGACCTGAAATCAACCAAATAAATTTACACCCTCAGAAAGTAGAAAAAAGAACCAACTAACAAAATCTAGCAGAAGGAAGGAAATAAAAATAGGGCAGAGATAATAGTATAGAAAGATAGTGGAGAAAAATCAATGAAACCAAGAACTTGGCTCTTCAAAAATATAACAGAACTCACAAACCTGTAGCTAGACTGACTGAGAAAAAGGAGAGAACACTAAAAAAATTCACTATAATTAGAAATAAAAATGGGGCCATTATTGCTACCAATTCTACAGAAGTAAAAAGGAATATAAGCAATTATTACAAATAATTGTATGTCAACAAATTGGATAACCTAATTCAGATAAATTCCTAAAACCCAAAACCAGAACTGGATCACAAAGAAACAGAAAACCTGAACCTATCAATAACTGGTGAGATCAAAAACCTCCCAACAGAGAACACTCAGGACTAGTATAGCTTTACAACTGAATTCTACCAAACTTTAAAGAGGAATTAACAACAGTCCTCCACAAACACTCCCAAAAATTGAGGAGGAAGGAAGGAAGACTTCCAAATTCATTCTGTGAATGCACTGTATCCATCATTACCTGACGCCAAAGCCAGATAGAGACACTGTAAGAAAATGAAACTAGAGCCCAATAGCATTAATGAACATTACGTGAAAATCTTCACCAAAGGAGTAACAAACTGAACACAACAGTAGAGCAAAAGGGTTATACACCACAACCAAGTGGAATTTATTCTCAGAATGCAAGAACAGCTCCACGTACAAAAAGTTAATGTAATATACCACCTTATCAGTATAAGTGAAATAAACCACACAGCCATCTCAGCTGATATGGGAAAAGCACCTGACAAACTCAACGCTCTAATAATACGTAAAGAGCTGGGAATAGAAGGAAACTTCCTCAACATAATGAGGCCATACATGAAGAGGCAACAGCGACTGAAAGTTGAAATACTGGAACTTGTACTTGAAGATCAGCAACAGGACAAGCATGTTCGCTTTTCCGCTTCCATTCAACGAGATTCTAGAAGTGCTAGCTAGAACAAGTAGGCAAGAAAAAGAAATAAGAGCTATCCAAACTGGAAAGGAAGAAGTACAGTTACCTGTTTGCAGCTGACATGATCTTATATGATGGAAACCTTAAAGATTACACACATACACTATTAGAATTTTCAGCAAAGTTGAAGGATACAAACTTAATGCACAAAAATCAGTTGTGGGGCTGGCAGAGTGGCTTAAGTGGTAGAGCACCTGCCTAGCAAGTGTGAGGCCTGAGTTCAAACTCTAGTTCTGCCAAAAACAAAGCAAAACAAAAACTCAGTTGTGTTTCTATTAATTAAGAATGGACAACTCAGAAAGAAATTAAGATATTCCCACTTATAACAGCATCAAAAAGAATAACAGATTTAGGAGTTAAGCAAGGAGGTGAGACCTGTTTGCTGGAAAGTGCTAAACGCTGATGAAGAAGTAAAAACACAAGCAAACAGAAAGACATACCATATTGTTCAGGCATCAACACTTCCCAAAGCAGTCAACAATCACCATACAATAAAAGTCAAAGTAGATAAACTGAACTACATGAAAATTAAATTTTTTTGTGAATCAAAGGACACAATCAACAAAGTGGAATGGGAGAAAATATCTGCAAATCATTTGCAAATGGGAGTGTTATCGAGAGTACAAAAAGAACATCTATAACTCAAGAACAAAAAATTGGGCTGGGTGCCAGTGTCTTATACCTGTAATCCTAGCTACTCAGGAGGCAGAGATCAGGAGGATCATGGTTTGAAACCAGTCCAGGCAAATAGTTTGCGAGACCCCATCTCGAAAATACCCAACAAGAAACAGGGATGGTGGAGTGGCTCAAGTGGTAGAGTGTGAGGTCCCAGCAAGTGCGAGTTCAAACTCCAGTACCACCAAGAGAAAGAACGAAAACACCTCAAACTCTTCAATTTGGTATATTCATCCAATGGAATATGATTCAACCTTAAAAAGGGAAATTTGACACAATGCTACATGGATGAACCTTGAGGTTATGCTAAGTGAGATGATCCAGGCATAAAAGGACAAATGCAATGACCCCACTTGTGCCAGGGACCTGGTCAGTCAGATTCATAGGCGGGGAGTGCGATGGGGGTGTCTGGAGCTGGGGGCAGTAATCCTAGTACTTGGGTAGTAAGTTCCAGTTTAGCCTGGGATACACAGCAAGACCCTGTCTCAAAAACAAGAAACAAAAACACCTCTCCTGTCCTCAGCCAGAAGCCTGTTCTCTTAGAATTCTGGAAGTCAGGAGCCTGAAACAAGTCTTCTGATCCCAGATCAAGTGCTGCATGCCCTGCCCCTCAGAAGTCCCAGGGCAGAATCTGTTCTCTGGCCTTTTCCAGAACATACCGCTGTTTCAGGGCATGTGACATTCCCTCTGTGAAAACACCTTTTCTCCCTGCCTGTTTCCATCGTGTGGCCTTTTTTCTGCCCAAAGTGTCCCTCTGCCCACCTTTGTGGGACCCCTGGAATTATACCTGGATAATCTAGGAGAACCTCCCATCCCAAGGCCCTAACTTAATCACCGCTACATAAAGCAATACCATATCCTGGTCCAGGGATCGGGACCTGACTATCTTTGGGGCTGCCATTCAGCTGCCCACAGCCCACCTCTCTGTAGCCTCCTATCCAGCAGGCCTCCTTCCCGCACCCTGTATCATCTGCATGTCAGCTACCTCTTCTGGCTGGCCTTTCTCACATGTGGGATCAGAGAAAGGAAGAAACCATTCTGCACAACAGGATAAAGAGGAGACGTGTGGGGAGGGGTGAGGAGGGTTGGCACAGTTGAGAACTCTGCTGGCTACGGGCACAGAGGAAGACATCTGCGATGACAGAGCATGCTGGGAGAGATTGCTAACTTGGGAATTTAGAACCTCCTCCTACCTTCTACAGAACCCTCCCCTGGGCCACACCTCACACAGGCGTTCACTTACACACATGAAGGAGTGTGGAGCCCACAGTCCTGGTGGTGTGGGAAAAGCAAGCAGCATGAAGACTTGGGGTCACAGGGCACCCACAACCAATCAACATGAGGCTAGCAGAAAGATGTAGGCCCTTGGGGCACTGGGCTGTCCCTCATCACAGTCCAGTTTGGCCATGGGAAACCAGGATGACAGGCAGATAACCATCTTGTTGGGGAATCCAACCCACCAAGTATCACTGAGGGGAGACTAGTGGGGGGACCCATGTCCCCAGGTGGTCAACTTACGGCTGTGGAGAGTCGTGATGCCAGTGTCATTTCTAGGTTCCCCTTCAGGCCCACCAGGGGCGGCACCAACGTCAAAAGGTCTTTAACCTCCATGAACACAGGCCAGTGCTGGAAGAATAAGGAGATAAATGCACGTACTCAATTGGCATGGCCTCCAGAAGGAGGTCTTGTGTGACCTCCCCCTCCACACACACACAAGATAAACAAGACCAAGCAGTGTCTTAAAAGGCTCTACACCTAACGCAGAATGAGAAAGCTGCGACATTTTAAATAGTACCTATCGAATCAGTACTAGTAGCTTCAAGCAAGTCCCCTTGTGTCCCTGATCCACAGGAACCAGGAAAATCAGGGGCTGGACTTGGCTAGAGGGCACCTGGTCCAGCCCCACCTGCAAATGTGCTGCTTGTCTACAAATGCAGTTTTGTGCGTGATGCAGTTCTGGAGCAGTTGAAAGGAGTTACCAGTTTCAAAGTTGAGGTATTTCTCATAAACTGGGAGGCCTGAACACCTGCAAGACTAGTTGGAGTTGTGGTGGCAGTGCTTTTGTTGGGGACTGTCATCTCCAGGCTGCCCAAGGCCCTGCCTCTCTGTCCCCAGCACTGAGGTTGAGTATATGTCACCACTGAGCTCCGCGCTGGGCCCTGCACTTTCCAAAACATCCCAAAACAGGAAAGAGACCTGTGTCCCCATCAAATACAACCATAGTCGAAAACTAAAATGACAAAATAAAAGGGACACACAGTTCAAGAGAACTGGAAGAGGAAATTTTCTTTGTGAATGCCGAAATTAATCCTTTTACCTAACATACAATTAGACTCTCCCAAATCAATTTTGAGTGTCCTTTCTTTTCCGATTCATCCATACTGTCACCTGGCCCCTGGAGCTGACTTGATCCCTACCTGAGAAGTTCCTCTGGTTTCGGAATTCTAGGCCTAAAGACAAATCCCTACTTTGCCAGCCAGGGGACAGAGGCCTGAGCACTAGTCCCCCTCCCTCTCCAAGAGCTGTGCAAATGTGCACAAGCCCATGTGGCCTCCAGGGGAAGCAGAGTCACCTCTGTCCTATGGCATGGAGGGAGGTAAAGGATTGAGCCAGGGGTCTGGTAGGAGAATTATTATTTCTATTTTTGTTGAAGACATACAAGGAAAATGTGGTCTTAACTTGCAATGTTTTCATTTCTATTGAGTCTGAACATTTTTTCCGTATTCATAATTGTTATCCCCTACTGAAAATTGTGTTTTTGCTTTTGAGCCAATTTAATTTGCTTGAATCTTTTATAATAAAGACATTAGCTCTTTAAAAAAAAAAAAGAAAGAAAGAAAGGAAAGAAGACTCCTTCTTGCTCTCAGGTCAAGGAAGATAACCCACTGCTTATGGCTACCTTTCCTCACTTTTCCCTTTACCTCATTTACAAAGCTGTGAAATTCAGAACCAGAGCTGACCATCCAGAAACTTCAAAAAAAACAATGTCAGGAAGTAGGGGGCCCAGCTTATCAGTGCAGCTCCCGCCTCCCTGTCTTCCCACAGCATCTGGCCCAGTCCTGCCTGCACCACCCTATCAGCCCCACACACTCCACTCCTCAGGAACAAGACATGGAGACCATCACGCAGGCACTCCCACCCTTGGCCCAGGGCTGCTAGAACCTTCTCACCCTCCTCCTCTACCCAGACCAGGGTCCATCTCCTCCACCTCATGCAATGCAAGGCCAAGTATCCAACAACCCTGCCTCTTTTCTACCTTAAACCTCCCTCTTACCCAGCTCCAGGAAATGTGATTCACTCCACCCTTACCCGCCCAGCTCAGCACTGTGCTGGCTGGGGTCCACCACAGTCCTCTCCCTATAGGAAGCAGTACCCCGATGGGTGAGCCCCAGGGGCTCTTCCAACCTCCACGTGCCTGTCCCCATCCCACCCCACCCCACCCCCTGTGAGACAGCCCTGTCCTCCCCAAGTGGATGAAGTGCCCACCAGGACAGGCTTGCCTCCAGGCCTTGGCCCTCTGGGTCCCAGGCCAGCTTCTCTAACAATTCCACCTTGGCCTTCACCATGGGCTCTGATACTTAATTTCCTTCCTGCCTCACCTCCCACCCTTCCTTCTTTCCACAGCTCTCCCTCCCTAGGCTTGAGCTACCTCCCCCGCAGCTGTGCCACCTTCTTCCCTAGCCGAGTCTCTCACAGGGCCAGAGGGGAATCTTGGCTTGCTGTGGTTCCTTTTCCTTACTGGTGGGTGGCTGCCTTAGGTATGGGGCTGCAACACGATTCTGGCCATGAGACTTAAGAAGTCAAGTCTGCTCACGTCAGACGTCACAGGACCAGGAGGGGAGCTATCCTGGGACAAAGTCCACAGAGACTGGCTAAATCATATGCTGAGTTTCTGACTCCCACTGCCTCAACATGTAACTGTATTTACAGATGGGGGCTTTACCATATGGGTGGTCCTAATCCTGAGTGGTACCCTTGTAAGAGGAGGACATTAGGACACAGAAACATGGAAGGACGACTACAGGAGGTCATAGGGAGAGCCACTAGCTCAAGACACCAAACCTGCCAACACCTCGATCTCGACCTCTTGAATCATGAAAAGTGAATGTCTGTGGTTTAAGCCTCTGTGCCTCTACAGCGGCCCTAGCAGGCCACTGCACATAGTAAAGGGAGAAAATGCAGGTCCTGTTCATCCAACACATCAGCCAGTCCTGAGCTGCCCTCTCCTGGCTCTGAGAGAAATGTCCTGCTGCCTTAGCCACTGTGAGGTGGGCTTTCCATCATGTGCCCCCGAGAGCAAGTCCACTGATGATGCCCCAGGTGTGTGTCTCACCACCATGCACCAACCACACTCAATGCCACATGGGCACCTCAAGACCTCCAAAGCCTGCCTGGTCCCTGCTCCTGCCATCCAGGACTTCATGTCTCTTGTACCGCCTGACATTCAAGTCATCACAACTTTCACATTGCCACTGACTTCTCCAGCAACACCCCCGCTGCCCGGGGATGGGGGGGGTGGCTGAAATCCACCTGCAATGTTCCCTTCTACTTGGGAGATTCTCAGTTATGGCCACACCCCACCCCCACCCCCACTCCCCCAGCTGCCACACGCCTCACCTCCTAGGCATCTATGACTATGTCGCTCAGCCACTTCTAACTGCACTGCCAACTCCACTCCTGGGTCTACCTCCAACACAGTCACAAATGTCATGGCAGCATCACAGCTCCTGCTCAAAGTGGAGCCACAGCACCAGAGGCAGAGAAGGGGCTGTGACCGGTGGGGACAGAGCTCGCTCATGCACAATTTTCCACACATTGATGCTGTGCTCCAGTAAAACAAACAGACTTATTTGAAAACATAGTATGCCAACAACAACAGCCCCTTTGCCCTCCACGCATGACTCAAGCGCCTGAACAGAGTCCTTCATGTCCAAGCAGTGTCCCTGTCCTCGTGACATTCCTCACTCTCCACAATGCACACAGCTTCTTCCCACGGCGTCCTGCAAATTGCCACATTGCCCTTTAAGGCCCAGCTCACACTGCCCTGCTCCCGCTACTGAGTCTCTGAGCCCCAGGAAGGACCTGCCCCTCCTCCTTCCAGGGTGGAGGCCTGTTCTCACCATGCCCTGTCCAGTCCCCCTGCTGACTGTCAAGTCCCCTCTAGGCTACAGCGACTGAGACACTGAGCTGAACACTCTCCTGAGCTGGCTCCAGGTTCCAGCTGTAAGGGGCTGTGAGAGAGACAGAGGGATGGAGGGGCTAACGTTGTGCTCCATACAAGGCAGCCATGGAGAAGGTCAACAGGGGAAGATGACGGGCAGAGTCTCCCAAACTCAGGGCAGGGTTGACAAGCTGAGGCCATTGGGGGAGAGATGGAGATCTCTAGGTTGCAGGCTGGAAGAGCAAGCTCAGGCTCTCTAACGTCAAACGAACCCAGCACCAGGAGGGCCAAGGGGCCCGTCACCGTCACTGAGGGATGGAGGCAGAAGCTCCCTGGGAGGTCAGGTGCTGGGTTACTGAATGCCCCTCCATCTTGAAGACAGGTGCACAAGGAGACCAAAGAGATGCTGTGTACACATGGGGACATGAAATACTCTCAAAGTAAATGTAAATTTTACAGCTTAAGAGTATTAGGGGCTGAGTGGGGCTCAGCACTACAGTGTGAGGCCACACACACCCAAATTAATTTTTAAAAAATAAAGTATTATATTGTACAATCCCATATATTCATGCTTGTATGTACATGGAAAATAGTCTTGGTAAAAACTCCTTAACGGTCCAGACGCCGATCCCAAGCCACGCCCAGGATACACAAAGAATGTGACACAAGAACACCTCTCATCAAATGCTTCCACCAGATGGAGACGGCCATACTCCTGGCTCACCAGGACCCCATGCCAGACTCTGCTCCCCTAAGGACCCAGATGGGGATTCTGGAGGAGTGAGTCTATCCCATTTGTGCCTGTTACCTACTCCAGGGAGCCTGACAAGCGCCCAGTCATCTGGTCCTTGCAACTCTTGAGAGGTGGGGTTTGCACAATCCCGGCTTTACAGCAGGGGAAACCAAGGCAGAGAGAGACTAAAGACCTGCTGTACTGAGTGGCAGACCCTGCCCACCTGGCCACGTGCACTGGCAGGAAAGAGGGTACACTCTGACTGACGGGGCTCACATGGGCTGCCTTTGGGGAAGCTCGTCAGAATCTCCATCACTCTGTGACTCAGATGCCAAGATGTCCAGTGGATGCTTCAACCAGCTCTACTGACATCCAAACTGCAGTCCAGCCTGCTACCCATGTGGAAGCTTTGTGTTCCCAGCATGCCCCACCATAGCACCAGGACACCCCAGTCCTTGCTCTCCCCTCCCCAACCCGTTACTCCCTCTCAGACCTCAGTACGCACTTGGACAGTGTTCATCACCAGGCCGGCCGTCATCATGCCTAAGCCTGACAGCAGGATGGGCACAGTGACCTGGCAAGCTGTGGTGGCAAAGGTCTCCGGGAGGACCCCAAAGGGGGACCGGGTGATCTCACAGCTGAAGCCTCGCAGCTTCTTGCCCTGAAAGCGAAACTCTAGGTTCAGCTGAGTGACCACCATGGTCAGGCCAGCAGCCACATTCCCAGAAGCAAGAAGGCTGAGCCAGGTGCGTTCCGTCCTCTCTCCTCCTTCCACTTTTCTGAAGAAGTCTGTGCAGATGGAAGTGTCCCAGGAAGTAGCCAGGTGTCTCGTGCCTGCAGAAGGTCCCCAATGGCCCCTCGGCCAAGGACCAGGGCAAATCAGTAAGGAACAAAGGCCAGTGTTACTCCAAGACTTATTCTGGAGGCTGCCAGCCTTGGTGTCCACTCCCCCTGGGTTGGGTTATCCTCAGAGAGTGGCTGTGTGTCAGCCAGAACCTCCCTCTGCTGCCTGCCAGGGAGGTTCAGTGTCCCTCAGCAGCGACCTTGACAGTGTCCAGCAGTCCAGCCCAACTGGACTGGGCTGGGCAGAGGTGGAGCCCACGTGGGTCTAGCCCTGGTAAGCACCCACGCGGAGGTCAGCTGCCTCTCTCCGCACGTGCACCCTGGGCAGTGCTATCCTGGCACAGAAGGGCCCGGAGAGCCTCAGCTTGAGGGGCCTCCCAGGCCAGCCTACAGAAGTTGTATCCTTCAAGCTCAATAAGTCCAGAGGCCCCCAAGAAGGAAGTCACATCTGTGGTCACCTTATGGCCACAGGAAGAGGCCATGTTCATATTTTAAAAATGCAGCCCTGTTCTTCCTTGAAGGCCTGGGAAGCCTTGTCTGCATGCTTCCAAAGTAACCCTGCTTTCCCTGCTAGGAAGATCACACCCTGATTGCTGACCACCGCAACCCAGAGGAGGAGGAGGGGCAGGCTGGGAAGTCACATTGGACTCCTGGGGCATCTGCCATCGGGAGTCCCCTGTGAACCCCATGAGCACCAGGCCTAACAGCTGGCCAGGGCAGGAATTGAGGCCCCAGTCAGCAGAACCATAGCTAAGGGTTAGGGTTACCCAGCGACCGAGGGTACCCACAGGTTCCAGGCCTCATTCCACTCCCATTCCCAAACCACTGTCCTCTCGAGCATCTAGCCTTGCTCTCCTCCACTGGAGAACAAGTTCAAGTCCAAATCCCTCAGCCTGGAAGGCTGGCCCTTACCAGCTCCCCAAATTCATCCTCCTCCCAACATAGCACATCCAAACCCCCACACTCACTGTCCCCCAGTACCTGGTGCTCCTCTCAGTTGGCCTTCATTCACACCTTCAATCACACATCTTCCCCCAGACACATATAAAATGTCATAGGACCCAGCCATGATAGGCCCTAAACTACTTTGGCCCTTGTCCTGCTGGGAATTGGCATCTCTGTCCCCTTCATGCTGTGACTACTTAGCCAGTAAAGCTCAGAGGAAAAGCCACTGTGCTGGGCATTTCTAGGCCTGAATCTTAGGAAAACGCAGCTCATACTTGAAAGTCAGCTCCATGCTGCAAGGAAGACCAGCAGTCACACCAGGAAGCCACATGCAGGTGACATGGCCAACAGCCCCATCTGAGGTCTTAGCTGATAGCCAGCAGCACCCTGCCAGTCAGTGAGTGAAATGACCAGGGCTGGGACCTGCATGGGGCAGAGGCTGTCATGGAGCTCCACCCAAACTGCAGGCTTGTGATCAAGTTGAATGGTTGGCGTTCACCAAACTGTCAAGGTTTGCTGGGCTCAGCTACACAGCAGGAGATAACTGGAACTGCATCCCCACCCTTGATTCTGTATACACCCAACAACTCCCACCCTGTCCAGCCCGCCTCTCCCTGAGCTTTCAGACCATCTCTCTCAGACCCATGGTGAGGGACGAGAACCTCAGGCTCCAGGGCTTTCACAGTCATTTTTTCCAGACTGCCTCTGCCTGGCTTCCTGCCTCAGTGAATGGTTCTGCCAGAAACACAAGCCTGACCCTGACCACCCACCACCTCAGCCATACACCCAGTCTGTCTATCTCCAGATCTCCCACATCTGTCTCTTTGCCCCAGCTCTCCATCTCCACTGTGACCCTATGGCCTCTCACAGTTTTCTACCACAGCCAGCGCGTGCTCTCCTTGTCCACCACCTACATGGGCCTCTAACAGGGCAATGGCTCGAATATCCTCAACTACCTGAGAAAGGCATGCATGCAGAGCCCTCACCTCTGGAAAACCACACCCACCCAAGCTGTATGTCTTCCAGCACACGGTCATGAGCCGCATGCCCCAGAAGGAGCTACTCACGGACCCTCGGGGCCACGCCTGTGCTCCCCACACCCTCTGCCAGCCCACAACACCTCCAGGCCAATCTCCTGCATGGTTCATGGCCGAAAGAGGTGACTCCTGGTCTGCAAGGCCTCCCCACCTGAGCAAGGCTTTCCCAGAATTCCCAGAGTATTCCTTCTGAACCTCTGCTGGTCTTCACTGGACTCTCAAAACCCCCCAGGGAGCTAATATCCAGTGTTTACAAATGAGAAAAGGAAGGCCTAAAGAAAGTCTGCCCAAGAAGGCAAGCTAAGTCAGCACCAGAGGCAGGGCTGCACTGACTCAAGCAGGGCCCTCCTGCTGACCTTGCCTGGCCTGGCCCCCAGCTAGCCCCCACTCCAGCCTGCTATCTCTGGTTTGAGTCAGGGTGTTCAAATGCAAGTCTGAGGCAGCGGAAAGTGAGAGAAACTGTTTTTCTGGAAAGTGCTGTGGAAGCCACCTAGGCTCAGGCGCTTGCCGATCTAAAACACAAGTGTGCAGGCTGGCGTCTCTCTGCTGCTGACACTGGGAGTGAGACACCTGCCATTCCCAAGGCACACAAACAGGCCATCGTTTCTTCTGGCAACAACAGCCCTGACAATGTTGTTACAGTTTGGGATGCAGTCAAACATTACGACCTATAATCACACATGGCAGATGCCTGGACCATTCTCATCCCTCCAGGAGACATGGAAATAAACAATCGACTTTGCAATCTCCTAAAGAAAGAGCTGTCTGATTATGTAAGCTACAAATCATCGCAAAAATTTGTTTCTCAAGTTTGTTTCTAAAATTAAGTAAGACATAAAGACACACACAGTACACACATACAGTGAAAAGTTCAGAAGGATATAAACCAAAATGCCAAAAGTAGTTTCCTTTGGTTGGTAGGATTGTAAATAACCTTCTCTAAGAAGTAATTTCCTGTTCAACTATCAGGATGATTTGCTTTTATGATCATCAAATAAACTGTCACCAGAAGTAAATAAAAGGATGTAATCCTGGGAGAAAAATTACTTTGCTGTGAAATTTGAGAACAGCACATGTCAACACAGCATAGTGGGTCACAATCCAGAACATCAAGAATGTGGTTTTAAAAATAGTTCAGCCACACAGTGGAAAATCTCAAAGAGCCTGAACCAGATAACAGGCCGCCCTGGGCAGCAGGCAGGATCTGGGTTGAACATCAGGTGTCTCCTGGGTGACCGTGAACAAGCCCAGCCCACTCTACAGTCCCAGACAGGAGGGGTGGGACAAGACCAGTGGTTCCCAACCCATCGTGCAGATCAGAACTCCTGGCGGCAGCTGAGGTGCGGCTCAGTGATGGAGCTTGTGGTTAGCATGCATCAGACCCTAGGTTCTACCCCAAGCACCTCCGTAACATGAGAGAGAAAGGGAGGGAAGGAAGGAGGGGGAGAGGGAGGGAGAGAGGGAGGGAGGGAGAGAGAGAACACCCCATCTTCTACTACAGAACAAAGATGCAGAACTCCCACGTGGGCTGGGGCACCAGAGCCCCCAACCTATCCCACCGCCGTGCATGTTTTCAGGCCTAGGGCCTTGGCACGCACCTCACCATTCTCAGTGTCTACTGTGGACTCCCGGGCTCCGGGGTGGAGCGCAGCCCTGGGGATGCCAATCCTTCCCTCAGCCACCGTGAGCCTGGGAGGCTGAGATAAGTAGTCACTTCGAGTGCATCCTGAATACATCCCCATCTTGCACAGGCCTCAGATAGCAGGCTTGTGAAATCGATGTAAGTGGGAAGTCTCCTTCATTTTCTGATCTAAGCTCAGCTGGCTGAACAAATGTGAAAAGGAAGGCTGGCCACAGTTTCTCCAGGCAGCCTCTCTGGCCACTCAGGCCTGGCTCCAGAGCTTCTTCCTCCTCCAGGGAGCCCTGGGCAGCATCCCTCTCCATGGCTGCTGCTTGGCCTGCTCTGGCACACATGCTGCCGCCCAGCACTGGCTTATGCACCTGCATCTGTCTCTCCCTACGTGACTCTGAGTGCATGGGAGCCAGGCCCGCCTGTCATGTCCACCACACCAAGACACTGTCTAACCAGGCTACCAATGCAGTTCAGTTCTACTTAATTTATCCCACTCATTTCAGACATGTGGGATATGACTTCTCAAGACTGTTCACTGCAGCATTACTAAGCAGTATTATCTTGAGTTGTTATGGGCTGAATTGTGACCCCCAAAATTCATATGTATATGTCCTAGCCGCTCCATGCCTCAGAATGTGACTATTTTTGCAGACAGGGTCTTTAAGAGATAATTAATTCAATTGAAGTCATTAGGATGGGCCTAATCTAACATGACTACTGTCCTTGTAAAAAAATACACAAAGAAGGAGCACAGGAAGGAGATGCATGAACAGCCTGGTCAAGACCTCAGAAGAACCTCTGAAGGAACCAACCCTGTAGCATCTCTATCTTGGACTTCTAGTCTCTGCAGCTGAAGCAAAACAACTTTCTGTCATTTAACCCCCATCTATGGTACTTTGTTATGGCAACCAAGGCAAACAAATTAATACAGTTGTTGAATACAAGGTCCATCGGAAGTGTCAAATAGACTTTGGTATACTGCATGATGGGATCCCACCTTGACTGGCATCTGAAATTATATGAGATAATAAATTGTCTTGTTAGTTAACGCGGGATAAAATTATTCTCTGTCACCAGTGAGTAAAACAATTCCGCCTGATATCCAGGAAAGGTGGGGGTGAGGAGGCTCCCCTAGTCCTTCAGACTGCCTGCTCCCCAGGCCCACACTGCCCAGAGCCCGTCACACTCAGCTCCCTCTTACCTGGAAATGGTTCAGGAGCATGCCAGCCCCAGACAGCCCCAGGCCTGCAAACATGAAGGGCACTGTCACCTGCAGGGCAATGGCCAAGGCAGTCTCCCTGCTGGGCTCAGCATCCGATGGTTTGGGAGCCACACTTTCGCTCTTGGGGACCCCCTGATGTCCATCTTCTGAGGCCACAGGGAATCTTCCTGTGCTGACGGCAGGTGGCAGTCCTGGCCCCTGAGGCCTGCTGCAACCTTCCAGCCTCCGCT